TCATCTCTCCGACGTTTCCAATTAACCTAATGACTCTACAAGCTTTATATTGATTTTTTTTTGCGTGTGTGTATGTGTGTTTCATTTTGTCACATACGAGTTATATTTAGATGAAGTACCGGTAATCTAGAAAACTGTTAAACAAAAATGTGTATGTTTATCAACCATGGAAGCGGAGTATATCGCCTTATCTAAAGCAGCGAAGGAATTAATGTGGACGAAAAATGTCTTACAAGATGAAATTTTAAAGTTTAGTTTAAGAGAGTGTAAACTATTTTGTGATAACAAGTCTGCCATTGATTTTTCTAGATCGCCAATAGAAAATCGCCGAACTAAGCACATACACGTAAAATATTACTTTGTTAGAAGACTAGTAAATGATGGAGTGTTTGACCTTGAATTTATTACCAGTAAATTAAATACTGCCGACTTATTTACAAAAGCAGCGACTGCTGTTAATTTAAGAAAGTTTTGTTTAGATGTTTTCAGTGTTTAAAGACAATAAGTGTTTTCGTATAATAGAATTGAACTATAAACTTCTGTAATTCTGTTAAGTTTTGTTTTTGTCTTTGCATGAGGAAAAGTTGGCCGTTTGTTGGCTTTAGTTTTCCACATGCAAATTTTGATCGGAGTTCAATCGGCGGTAAGCTAACGTGGTTGCCGCTGATTGGCCGATGACTTCAAGATCGGCGGAATGGCCGAGTACAGTCAAAAGTCGTTAATCCGGACTCGTCGGGACTTCGGCGATTCCGGATTATCGATTTTTCCGGATTATAGATCATCAGTTTAAATCTCGTAAGATGGCATGCAGAAATTCTAAAATTTAAAATATGAAACCGTAATTTATGAAATAAAGAACAATTATGATCTAAAGGGTATCAAAATTACAAAAAAAAAAAAAAAAAAAAAAAAAAAAAAAAAAAAGCTTAATATTTATTTGCTACTTTATTAAACATTTCTTTCAATGTAAGTTAAGTTGCTTCGTTTTATGTGATAATACTTTCTCTTTAATTCTATAAACAGACATAATTTCTTGTTCAGTTACAAAATTCCGCTGTTCAAGTCCCGTAATTGCTGTGCCGAGAATACCGACTAACTTATCAATTGAAATTTTTTTCGTTTTCACTAACCTCTTTGTCACCTTCTTCATGTCTTTATCCATTTTTTGCAGCAATTCCACTTTTTGTTTGATGGACATCGAAACATACTTTCGTTTTTTAGATCCTTTGGGTGCTCCAGCATCGGAAATTCTATTTGACATAATCGAAAGTTCAAGTTTACTTTTATAGTATTGCTCTTACAGTCTGCAAAAAATAATAAGCCGGATCCAATTTGAAAATTAAGGAACAATGCAATCTGCAACATTAACTGAAATAGATAATTAGATAATTTTAGCTTATACCGTCCGTTATACATTAAACGTGCATGCGAAAACGTATTCTGTTTCTCGTGCGCACACTCATATGCGCAGTCGTAAAGGTCTTACGCGCACGCGTTAACGCCTATGCGCATGTGTCAACGTGGCGCATGCACAGAAACCTTTTAGCTTTGAGGTCCGGATTATAGATCATTCCGGATTATGGGTGTCCGAATTAACGACTTTTGACTGTATATACACTAATATTATTGCAGTATGTGCTGACAAGTTTAAAAAATCACTTGAGAAACCTTGGTTGACATGGCAGTTACATTAATTTGTCTGTTGTTTGACAATGAACTCTGTGGGCAGGAAAGTCTTTCATGGGCATGGATGTGTAGGGGTTAGAAGTTTGGCTACCGCTTTTTTGATTCCGAAGCAGGATGATGAATTTGTTTATGTACGCTGCCGAGTTCTTCAGCGGAAAGTTGTGTTTGTCACCTCTTGTGTCTTGGCTTTTATGGATGGTATGCAGCCTGCTGATTCTAAGCAAAGTTAGAGCTGTGGGTAAGGAAGTTATGGACTAACGGTTGAAATATGGCTACCACTGTAGACTACGACTCGCCCTTGACTGGTTTCGCTGCATATTCTGTTGCAAAGTTTTTTTCATGCCAAGGACAGCATGTTACCCTTCTGTGGATCATGTGCAATAGTTCACTTGCCCCTAGTACCACTGCTCATCTTCTCAGAAGAAGGTAAATCGAAGACTTCCTGATCTTCCTGATCTGCAAGCAGCTCAGTTCCTATGCCATGCAGAAATGTAATAAAACTTTTTTGGTAATAGAGCTTTTTTTTGCAATTGCATCCCACGTAGTAAAAGCTCTTGATGCGCTTATGAAGTCTTATTTCCTGGCACCGATGCCATGGAGAACGTAATGAGTTTCGAACTGCTTCTGAAATCATAAACTAAGATTTCATGTGTGTGAAAGAAATGTGGAAGCTGTCATAAGACAGTGACTTGTGTTTCCAAGGTGTGTGCTATTACTGGTGAATTTGAGTTGTGTGTAGCTTGAACATTCTATAACTGTAAAAAAATTACCTGGTTAAATTTATTGCAGATTACTTAACAGTGAGTTTTCAGGTTTCTTATGTACTTAAAAGTTGTCTGCTTCAGCTTCTTTAAAACTTTGTTTTGTGCATTTTACGTTGTTTCATTTAAACTATCCATGAAATTAAGGATAAAAATCCTGCCTAATTTCTGGTCTGATGAAGAGTTTCTTTATATTTTTCTTGTGTTAGGAAATTTCTCTTTAAAATAAGGTAATCTACATGTCTTTTCATCCATAGCTCTTAATAAACAATGTAATGAAACTCAGTTTTAATGAAATTAAGGTGACTAAATCTTTCCCCCTCAGTTTCCTCTCAATTATCGTTGGGAAAAGAGGTAATTATTCACTAAAATTACATTTAGATTTCAAATAACTGAAATGTAACTTGTTCATTGTGAATTATTAGATATTTTCATTTTATCTATATCCCTGATTTCAACATTAGAACTACCATGTTTTGGAGTGTGCACGTGACAGTAGCTAACCTTAAATAGTAAACAATAGTAACCTTTGCAAGTGTTTAGTACATGAATTTATATTCTTTAACCTTCATTTCCCAGACCAATGCCCCCTTCCCCAATCTGGATGCATTTGCAGAAATTATTTTAGGAAAACAAAGCAAATAAAAAACATTCTTATTTTATAAAATGATTTTTCTTACTATTTGTGACGATCAGTATTTAACTACAGCCTTTTTTGACCAGCTGACAAAGGTATTAACTAGTAGGCAACTTTTTATGGAAGCATGGATAATCAGAAAGTATTGTGGCAGGGGTTTAATGCCACAGTACTCCAGACTTGTCAGATAGTTCATTAAAAGGAAAGCCAAAGACTTTAGTAAGACTAAAAAATTTATTTAAAATTAAAAAGCATAATACAGTGAACACACTGTATTATGAAATTAAAAACATGATAAGCAGATGCGGATTTAGACCTGATAAAACCCTAAGCCATTTGAGATATGGGGTCCTTTATAAGTCTGTTATACTATATTTTAATTTTTGAGGGGCCCTAAGTTATAGCTTGTGTAGCTTATATGTAAATCCTGCACTGATGATAAGTTGTCGTCAAATGTCAACCATGAATAAGCAGGAACAGTGAAGTGCAAGTGAGTTTCTTGGCGAAAAGTTTAAATCTTTATACTCGCATTACAATGGGTGTGCATGTGTACAGTGCAACAAACATGATTACTGCATGCAAATGTTAACCCTTTCCGGCGCAGTGTGTTCAGTGTGGACACACCAAAGATATTCCCTCTTTAGACGCTGAAAATAATCAATATCATGAAACCTCCACTAATGGTTACTTTTAATCTCTTTTATGAATAATAGATGGCAGCACCACACAAGCAAATCATTAACATTGAGATATATTCTGTTTTTAAAAACACTGATTTTTCAAAGAAATGTTTCAGACTTTTTTTAAATATAAAGAATATCAATGAAAAAAATCTTTATATAATTTTGTTGTTCGTATGCTAATCAGCCTATTCTGTATTACTTTTAATTTTTATCTTTGAAATATTGTGTATAGTGAAGCCTTCAGTGTATGGTGTGTTCGGACTGAACACACTGTACTGGTAGCGCCTGTCACGTGGGAGTGAGTCACAGAATCTGGTCTCGTGCTTCAAACACATGGGAGGCTGAGAGCTTAGATTTATTTATATTTGTTTTTATTCTTTTCTGTTTTTGAAAACCCCGGTGCTTTGTTTTCACTTAGCTATTTGATTTTGAGCGAGAGCAGACCCTTGTTTCCTCTTGCTTTCATCATGCGTAGTTTGCTTAGTTTTGATTTCTGTAGATTTTTATTTGTATATATATTTAATAATTATTTCTTTCTAGTTGATAATTAATTGTAAATATTATAGTATTTTAATTGTTTTTCTTCTAAATTTTAAAATTATGTAAATGGCTTGAAGAGGCCTCAGCATTGCCAAATCAATGAGAGTGTCCTTTTTTTTTCCTCGTTTTTTTTTTTTTGGGTGGGGGTTGTAAAGTAGCAAGCTTTCCCGTGGTTTACCCTGGGTTATGCTAAATCTGCTACGGAGATCAGATTCTACTGTTTTTAAATCATAGACAAAGTATTTTACTGTAATACGCGCTTCACAGCAATGCTCACCTATCGCAGCTCGTGCGGCTCGGTGTGTTCGCTTCAGACTTTCCCACAAAATGGAAACGGTTTGTGCAATCTTTGTAAAATTATGCCTGCATACTCTCCTAGGCCTAAATATACTGCCTACAATTTTTTTTCGGTAAAATTCCAACTTTAAAAAGAGTAGCGTGCCGGAAAGGGTTAAAATGCTGGAATACAAATATTCTCTCACAGTATCATTATTGCAAATATATTGTTTTAAAGCACTGCCATATGCAACTGACCTTTGATAAATCCAAATTAAAGGGAGCAGGGGTGTAAATTCAGTATCAGGAAAGTTAACTGTATTTGTTTAACATTTCGACTTTGAGGTCAGTTTATTGAACTTATTAGCATAAATCCATTATTTTTGTAATAGAAATCGAATTTATACATTCTTCTAGATGAAACATCAGCTGAAGTGCAGTATGTCGATTTATTACTAAATCCTGAACGCTACACTGGCTATAAAGGTCCTTCTGCTCATAGAATATGGAACAGCATTTACAGAGAAAATTGTTTTAAGTATGTATAAATACTAATTTTTAAAGATTTTTTTTTTAATTCTAATATATTTCTACTCTTATTTGCATGTTATTACAAAATTGGAGATGTCTTCAATTGCTTGCTTATAGTAATGAATTATTGAAATATAAATCTATATGTGAAGTATTGTAGTTTGAATTTAGTTGTTTGGAAAGAAAATTTAGAGCAGGGGGGGGGGAAAATCATGGAAAAATAATCTCTGTTTGCTTTTGAAAGTTATTGGCAGCAAAAATAATCTTCTTGAAAGTGTTTTAGATAGCTGCATGGGGCATGATAATGAGTAGTTATGAACAACTGAAATGAATATTGGATGAAATGTCTTTTTGCATTGCTACTGAATAATGTTGTTTATGCATTCTCAGAGTTGAGCATTAGCGTGGTATTACTTATGAAAATGTAGCTCATCCAGAAAAGCTTTGCGTAGTTAAGTCTGTAGTATTTAAGAAATTCAGTATTAAATAAATATTGTATGCAGAGTTACTCAGGAGATAAGAAAATGAATGTTAATGTGCCATAACATATCTTTCGTAATAGATGTCCATATATCAACCTGTCTTTTAGTCTGAGGTATCATTACCCAATCCACACTGTAATATACAAAAAGTAAAATTTTATTTTTGTTAACTAAATTTTAATTAGATTTTATTTTGAATCACCTATAATAGAAAAATAGTTATTTTCTTTGTGTTTGGTAATAAATACGAGCGATGAATTACAAGAGATAATGGTGCTGGTTCCAAAAAAAAACTGACTAAATTAGGCCACACAATTATTAATTTATATACATAATGTACAAAGTTAGGTGCTCTAATAGCACAGACAAAGTGGAACGAGCGAACACACCATAGGTCTGCTGCAAACGTTCTTCAACTACTAACTACATTAAATTTGGCTCCTCTCACAAGAGGGCACTGATTCTTGGATGGCGCTATATTAAACAAAACAAATTAAGCAGTATTAGATCGTAACATACACACATTTAATTTTGACAACTTTAGTAGGCCATTTTTTTCTTTTTAAAATTCATATTTAAAGCCAGGTTCTTTTTTTTTATTTACATATTTCATTGCTTCAGTTTAACTTTTGATTTGTTTTATAATATTTTAAAATACCTTTAGGAATAAAGGAAGAAAAATTTCAAATTTATAATATCAAAATTTAAAGCATTAACCCTCTGCACACTGCTCGATTTTGATACATTCTGGTCCTGAAATACGGGGAGGTTTTGTTTTTTAATTTTCTCTTTCTTCCTATATTACTATTCACATCTTTATAAATAAAATTAGTATAGTCAAAAGTCACTAATCTGGACACCCATAATCCGGAATAATCTATAATCCGGACCTCAAAGCTACAAACTTTCTGCGCATGTGTCAACACATAATGCGTTCACACATGCACATAAGCATTTATGCATGCCTGTAATACCTTTATGAATGTGCATATGCATAATACATTTACGCATGTGCGTTTAATGTATAACGGACGGTATAAGCTAAGCTAAAATTATCTAATTATCTATTTCAGTTAATGTTGCAGATTGCATTGTTCCTTAACCCATCAACTGCCAAAAACTACAAGGAATGTTTCTTTTCTCATGAAAATAATAACAAATATTAAATTAAGCATTTATAACATAAATTTACATTAAAAATAAAAAAAAATGCTCTTACCTGTGGAAAAAGCGAGTGTTGCGTTCGTGCAACGTCAGCGGAATAAGACTACGGATGTTTAGCGAGTAGGATTGTACTCGCGTGATGTTTCTTTTGAGTGGAGTGCAGGATTACTTTTTAGCTGTATAACGTTTTATAAATCTACAAATCGCTTTACTTGTAGTTAATTGAATATTAAAATATACATTTTATTTCTTTTACAAATACAGAATATTTCATTTGAAAGATTCAAGCATGAAAAGCTTGATTACAATCATGATGTAAAGCTACATTACATACTTTGCATCTATAAACAGTCTGGCTATGGTACTCTTTACAACAAAGTCTTTTGTTATCAACAGACTTTATGATAAAATGTCTACCATCTCCATGCAATGGTTTTTGAATGCTGAATTTACTAGGTCTTCCTGTTGCTGATTTATTTCTGGCTAATTCTACACTCTTAATAGGATTTTGCAAAAGGAATAGTGCATTCTTGCATCTGAAATCTAAAAGATACTTTATATTTCCAGTAGTAAAAAGTGGTGATATTTAGTAAATTTAGATACGGTCTCACCTCATATAATTTATCAGTATTGTCAATTTGACTATTGTAAAATGCAAATTCTGCTTCATATTCCTGTACTGCAAACGTGATATAAATTCTCGTACAACAGGAACAGAAATGTCCTTATCAAAAGACCAATACATTTTTTCTTGAGGTAAAGAATGATATCCTGTAAGCAATATTATTCCAATAAATCTTCTCATATAAGCTTCAGATGCAATAAATTCTTTTTTTTTTTTTTTTTTCCTGAGCGTATATATTTGTCTGTTCAATGAGAAGAGAGTTAATGTCTAAACGAAAAAGAAAATCGAAAATATGTGCACTAGTTTTACCTTATGTTTTGTCTTTTGTAATTTTTCTTCTATCTCTTTCTTCATGTTCTTCCTAAGACTTAACCAACAGTTCCTTTTTTATCCACTTCAAGATTTCAGTCTTCTTCTTTTTAAATTTTTTAGTATGACTATAAATGCTTTTTGAAGGCTGAAACTTACTTCTTACATGAATTTCAACTTCCCCAGCAGTATCATTTGGTAAAATATTATTATCATTATTTAAAACATTGCCATTCCTTTCTTCTTCATCACTAGTTTCTGCAATTTCTGGGGGAACAACATCAGTTTCATTCTGGTCATTATTAACATTATCATCATCTGTTTCTTCATCAAAAAATCTTTCAAGGTCTTCTTCTAATGTAAGATACATCGTTCTAGGCATTTTTAAACAACCAGAACATGAACCAGAACATCAAAAGAATGAGTGAAAAAGGAGCTTGACTACCCGTTTCCTGCTGACGTTGCATCAATGCACCACCTGTTTTCCCTTCCTTTCCAACACAAATATAAACATCTGGCTGATGTAATGTTCTGATAAACGGTGACCTTGACTAAAAATAGATCACTCGTAAAGACGGCGATTCTTTCATTAAATATTTTCAGCAAAAATTCCCGGTGGAAAATTTTGCTTAAATTTTGCTTAAAGTATGAGATTAATTATTATAAACAAAATGATTGTTAAAGGCAAATATTTTTTTACAGAAATAATCTTCATAATATTCCCTACACAAAATCATCTGCTGATATAAAATATTTTAGGTAGTTATTAACGAACACCAGTGGCTAATGGGTTAATCTTCGAATTGGATCCGGCTTATTATTTTTTGAAGAGTGTTAGAGCAATTTTATAAAAGTAAGCTTGAGCTTTCGATTATGTCAATTAGAATTTCTGATTCTGGAGCTGCCAAAGGATCTATCTACAAAGCGAAAGCATGTTAGATGTCCATCAAACAAAAAGTGGAATACGTAAACACTGCAAAAAATGGATAAAGACATATCCTTTGTTTCTCTAACCATTCCGAAATCTGTTTATCAATTTCATGTAACTCTGTGGACGGGGAGGGGGGAAACGTCGCGGCGCGCAATGAACTGAAAGTTGATTTGTTCAGCAGAGGCGTAGCTAGGGTTTCCAGCACCTGGGGACAACTGAAGATTTTACTCCCCTTTCCTGTGTGGCACGAATGGGGAAAACACTTCATTTTAAAATTTCATACCATCAGTTTGGCGCTCCCTGGATGTTGCGCCCGAGGACAGATGCCCCCCTTTGCCCCACCCTAGCTACGCCACTGTCTGTCAGCACTATTCTTATCTTCAGGGCAGATGTTTTTATTTTATTCGGCTTATAATTCCTTACTAAATGTAGTATTTCATCTCGATGTACTCCGTCTTTGATATGATTTAAATCAAATTCCTCGTCATTATAAATATCATGAATACACATCAAATAGTTTTCTGGTTGCAATTTTCTAATTTCGACTATGTGTAACATATGCTTTATGCATGCGTGCGTTGAAAGAAGTGTTTAATAAAGTAAACAAACATTAAGCTTTTTTTTTGTAAATTTTGATACCCTTTAGATCATAATTGCACTTTATTTCATAAATTATGGTTTCATGTTTTTAATTTTATAAATTCTGCATGCTGTCTTACCAGATTTAAACTGATGATCTATAATCCGGAAAAACCAATAATCCAGGATCGCCTAAGTCCTGACGAGTCCAGATTAAAGACTTTTGACTGTATAATTTTTCTGATTTTTAAAAAACATGCAATACAGCTCACGTGATTTTAGCATGCATGAAATAAAAATATCAAAATACACAGGATCTTTTTGATTTTAATAAATATACATGCTAAGTAATTTTTACAGCTAATAATATTACTTATTATTATGCAATTTTTTTTTTAGTGTGGTAAACTTTAAAATATGTCTCTAAACATAATCCAACTTTACATTCTTCACACTAAATGCAAGTCTCTGTATGTATTTTTTTCCCATTGTTGTCTTTTTGGTGCAACACACTGTGCATTGCCTTCTAGGTTACTTTTTTATAGGATTTGGTGTTATATGGTTTGCAAAATGCCTCCCTATGAGGCAAATAAAGTTCATACTATCATCACGAGACTGTATTGATGAGCTCATAGCAGAGGAGTATTTGTCGAAAATTTCCTCGATCACAGCTAGCTTGAAATCAAGAAGGGTTTTTTTGTGTTTGTTATTTTTCTTTATATTGTATACAAATTTGACATTGCTTGATCCAATATATGGAAAAATGTTTTCTTTTAATATTTACAAAGTTGTTGTCAGGTACTTGTGTAGTACGACATCTAATTGCATTTGTCGACCCTACCCGTTGTAAAGTTATAATCATAAATCACTTTTGCTGTGTCTGAATAAACTGATACAAATGACACATCATGAAAAGA